ATAAACATGTGTCCTGTGAGAACATAAGATTCAGAAGTTAAAACTGCTGTATCATCCTGGCTGGGTGTCTCAGTTGGTTGGAGTGTCATCCCATATACCAAGAGGTTGCAGGATTGATTCCTGATCAGGGCACATATCTAGGATATCTAAGTTGCGTGTTTTATCCCAGTTAGGGCGAGTACAGGAGGCAACCAATCAACGTTTCTTTCTCTCTCTTCCTCTCACTCTAAAATCAAAAACATATCCTGAGGTGAAGGATTAAAAAACAACAACTACTGGACCTACGAAGTACCTTCTCATACTCAAGCCAGTACCCACAGTAATCACTAGAAACCATTTGATTCAGACTAGACCATGATAAAGAAACAGATGGAAATTTACACTCATCCATCATTCTAAAGACTGGGATTAGGATTATGGTTTGGGGTTAACTTCAAGATTCTAATACCACAACCTCAGCGACCCACTGTCATTAAAACACCCCTACTTAAGGCTTAGTAGAAATAGGACCCATTTAAGTTACCACCACTTCCCTATGAAGTTTTTTCCAATTTTGAAACTGTCACCAGATAAGTTTAGTTTTAGAATTAGTTTTACCAAAACGTTAGTGCTCAATAAGCTTGGGATGAATATCACATTTGTAAAATATAAAGCATGTTTCTTTTCCCAAAGGAATTAGTGTGTCATTTCTTTGGTTAAGAATGGCCTGGCTCAGAGTATTCTTTGTGACATATTTGGGGTGTGTCTTTGTTTAGTAGCAAAATGTACACATTCCATAAAGCAAACACTTTAAGAGGGAAATCTGTTTCTTACAACACCTTTCAAACCCCAATGAGTAAGAGTTCGCTGTGACCTTCAAGAAATTATCCTCTCCTCGAGGGAACTTCATTTATTTTATAGAAAATAAGCCCTCATGGTTAATAGAGAACCAAAAACTCTGCATTTAAAAAAGTCTTAAGAATGGAACTTTTTTGCAGGGCAGGGGACCCATCATGCTCTTTGGAGACCACAGAATGCTTTTCCTTCTCCAGAAACCATGTAAAGGATCACTGCCTCTAGCACACCTATGGTGAGGCACAAAAAGGCTTTCTGATCCACTCCAATGCAGTAAGAATAAAGAAAATTAAATCACTTGGGAACCCTAGAGTGGCAGCAATATAGAAGCCATGAGATATCCTGCTAGCATGCTTAAAGACTTATAGTCATGTTCTATCAGCCCCCAGTGATGGCTTGGTGACAACAGAGAACAGCTTAGATTTTTCTGAATATGCCTGTGTATATATATATACATATGACTAACAAGTTGGAGTGAAACCCTCAATGACCAGCCATCTTGTAGTAGGACCCAGAAAACAGACCACCTCTTCCTTCCAACATGGTGGACTGTCTATGATTTCCCCACCCCCACAACTAGAAATCCATATTCTGAGATAAAAAGGACACTATTAGGAGTTAAACACCTTACAGCAAAACTTACATTTTAATGTGGAGAGGAATGGGCTCTCTAACTCCAATCCTATAAAGCAGTTCTTCTCAATGGCATTCATTGTTATGAATGGTCGACCAATGCAGGTACAATTTCAGTAGAGAGTACTAGCTTCCATTTTGGGAAAACAGTTCACACAGTCCTAAATCACAATGCCCTGCAAACTCTAAGATGAAAGAAGACCAAGAACTCTAGAAGTGCCCCTAAAGGAACACCACTTCCATTTGTATGTTATTTGGCTTTTCTAAACACTATCTCAGGAGACCCAACAAGGTAAGCAAGATAAATATTATCCCCATCTTACAGGTGAAGAAATGATGACTCTGAGGCTAAATGATTCACTTGCCCAAGGCCACAAGTAGGCAGTTAACTAGTAGCCCAATCAGGAGATGAGTGCAGTCCTCTGACTCACAGGCCAGTGCAATTTCCAGGACCCTGACAGCTTCCTTGTTTTCGAATGAGAGGCAGTAGAGTATAACGGTTAAGAGCCCAGGTCTGACTCTAGCAGGACCTGCATTCCAATCCCAGCTCCACCACCTATTAGCCAGCTGACTTGTGTAGGTTCCTTAACCTCCCCCTAAACCTCAGTTTCCTCACCTGTAAAATGTGAATAAAAAGTCTTATCTCATAGAGTTATAGTGATGATTAAATGAGATGATAGACACAAGGCACACTCAACAAGTATTTGTGCCAAGCACACACAATACAAGAGTTACAATAGTGATCTAGAGGAACAGTTCTGCTCTTATGGAGCTTAAAATTTAGTCGATCTAAACAGAAAAAGTAAACAGATAAATGAAACACTTATAAAGCATAAGTGCTATTAAGTAAGGTAACAGGTGAGTGACTGGAGAGATTAACAGGAGGGAGTGGATTTTTAAGGGTGGTCTCTGAAGAGAAATTTAAGTTGAACCTTAAGGGGTCAAGGGATCAGAAGAGCTATCCACGTAGAGAATGAAAGGAAAAGCATTCCAGGCATAGGGAATAGGGCGTGAGAGGGTCATAGCCCAAGAAAGTGTAAGAACCAAGAGAAGACAAATGTGACTACTGTGAATCCTCACAGGATTTGGGAAACAACCTTACAAGGCTGGCTGCCAAGGATCACACATCTATTTTAAAAATAACAAAGATGAGGTTCAAGAGAGGAAATGTGTCTCACCCAAGGTCACAGCTATTCAGAGGAGCTGGGACCCCAGGATTCTACCTCCTGATACAGCGTCTATTTGAAGAAGCCTCCTGCACACTGAACTCCCCCACTCATTTCACTGACAAGTATTTTCTGTGCCCAAGAAGAGGTCCAAAGCACCTTGAAAACATGAGCAAGAACATCACATCAACCTGCAGGCATCTAGTCAACTGTGCACCGAAATCCTTACCTTTATGCTTTTATGACACAAGAGCAAAAACTGCTCAGACCTTACTCAAAGGCTCCAAAACAGAAATGGGTTTCTCTTATAACAATGAGCAAGAGAGGAAAAGGGATGTCCTGGAAGGAAGATCCCTTGACCTGTTCCAGAAAGGGAGCTAGAACCACCACTGCAGAAGAGCTGAAATATGAAGGTTCATCTCAAACTGCACAGGAAAAAACTATTTTATTTGAATAAAAGAACGAATTCTGAAAGCAGTGGTTCTCCATCAGGGTGGTACCGCCATGCCCCTACCAAGAGCATTTAGAAATTCCTAAGAGCTTTTTGTGGGCAGGGCCAGGTATGCTCAATGTCTTGAAAAAGGATAGGATGGTCCTATGAAGAAAGCTATTACCCAAAATGTTAATTGTAGCCCCCAACACTTGCTTTAATATGAATCCCTTAAGGGATTAATATGCTGTATTAATTTCCTGTATTTTCATGGTTCAGTTGTTCTTCCTACTCTCACCAAAGTGGGTGGAAAAAAAATTAAGATTTCACAGCTAAGGAATCTGAAATTTTGGAATCCAACTCACAACTCTAGCATGAAACCTGGTGGTGGAATACGGAAAAAGAAGTTTCTAGTAAAAGACAAGACATTTTAGCAAACAGGGAACTCCTTCCCCAGACAGGAGTTCATTACATTTTACACGACACAAAACTGTGTGTTTACAATACACAAAATTCTGTGATTTTAGAGAAACTTCTTATAGTGCTTTTCACTTTAAAATTAGATACTAATGACAGTTGTTTTAAAAACTTAACCACATGATCTCACAAATACAGCTGACACTTTCTGGACCAAGTTTTATAAGAAAGATTATTAATTTCAAGGTGTCTAAAGCCAATCAAATGTCTAAAAGAGCCAAAGGCAGTCAGTCATGCCTTGCATCTCATTCAAGACCAAGTGTGATGAAAGTCAGAGAAGCTTCAACAATATCCAGAGGACTGTTCAGGTAATAAAATACCATCCTCCCAATTCAAAAGCCACTTCCAAGTGTTACCTGTAATCAGTCACTATCCCTTCCTCTCAAAAAAAATTTTCACAAATTAAAGTTTATAGAGTTGAAAAAGAACCCAGACTATTTCCAAAAATAAAGACCAATTAGTAAATAGCGGCTGGACACCCCTTTTGACCAGTTTTCTAGAAGCCTAATCTGGCTTCTCAGGTTAGCAGAGCAGACAGCCCTGTTTTCCTCCAGAAGCTCCTGCCAGTCAGAGCCTGGGAAATCCTCCTCTAGCTTTTCGCTGGGTTATCACTAGAAGTTCACAATGTGAATCCACCCAGATTCTTTGAATCCTCCTCTTCCCCTGTCATGTACCAACAGCCTGGCAATAAAATCCCACCTCTCCGTTACAAAAAGATGCAGATTACCTGGGAGACCAAGCACTTAGCATGGAGGGGAAGAAAAAAAGATGGAGGGATGTGAGAGTCACTGAGCCAAGCCTACTGCATGCAGCACGGAGGACCAGAGCCCTAATCCTGCAAAGCTGGGAGGGAGGCTCCCTGGCTGGTCCTCCATTCAGCAGGCCACACCTGTCTATGCCAGCAGCCTGCTATCTGCTCCATTTTAAACAATCCAAACAGACCTCCAGCAGGGTGGCAAAAATTGAGCACCCCTCTCTCCCACTAGAGTGAGAGCCCTAATCCAACCACCACTTGTCCCTGATTTCTTTTCACACTCTTTGTCTGGGAGACACCGCTTGGTCAAATTGATCTCTGTCTGGTAAGGGTGAGGTAGGCACAATACTGCAGTTACAGAAAGAAAGCACCAAGGATGACTGCTATAAGCCAGGCCAGATCTCTTCTCTGAGGACGGTGATGCCAATAAGTGGTATTTAAAAAGGCAGGTTTCACTCTGCCCATCCACAAGTGGACCAACGCCTGAAATCCTAAAACGCCAGGCTCCATAACCTCGCAGAAAGCCTCTTTTCTAGAGGGTCGGTATCCAATTTGTCCCTTGGCTTCGGGAACCAAGGGGACAACAGACAGATCCAGGTCGTGAACTCTATGTGCAAACCTTCGCACGCGCGCCAAGGTTTGGGGCGCCCCAGCACGCCCTCCTTTGCACTCCACCCCCCGAGGCCTCCACCATCCGCGGACTCACCACTGTGCGAGCTGAACCACCTGGGTGCGATGTGCAGAGGTAGAGCATCCGCCAGCGAGGCTCGGGAGCCTAGGTACAGCATCCCGTCTCTATGGTGACCGCCGCCTGTCTCCTGGTAACCATTGCCTTGGGCATAGGTGGATTCGGAAGCGGACCCTCCGCCGCCTGGAGCCCTCTCTGAGTCGCCGGTCCCACGGGAGGCGGGGGTGTAGAGGCCAAAGGGCACCCCTCCGGCCGTGCTGGGGTCCATGCCCATGCCCGCCACCGAGCTGACTGAGCGGCTGCGCAGCCCCATGGCCCCACCGCCCGCCCGGTAGTGCCCAAAGTGGGGCGCCCCTCCTGGCGGGGGCACGGCGCTGTCATCAGTGGAGACCCCCGGGAAGGGGCCCCGGGACCGGGCCGCCGTGCTCTGCTTGCCCCCCATGCTCGCCCGGGCCCCGATGGGGCGGGAACCTGGAGGCCGAGGCCCTCCCCCACTTCTCAGCAGCGGAGGGAGGGTTGGGCGAGCATAAAGGGGAAGGGAGTCAAAAAGGAGATCGGGAGGGAAAAAAGGGGAAAAAAGAAAAAGAAAAAGAAAAAACAAAACCCTCGGGGCGGAAAAGGCAGGCGGGCGGGGATTCCAAACTAAGAATTTAAAACGATCCAAGCCAAGCGCATGTTTCCCCTCAAGGTCCAAGGAGGCGCAGTCCGGCGCGGGCTCGGCACGCCACAGGCC